CACTGTTGGTGGGAATGTAGTTTGGTGCAACCACTATGGAAAGAAGTATGGAGGTTCCTCAAAAAACTAAAAACAGAATTACCACATAATCCAACAATCCCACTCCTGGGCATATATCTGGAGAAAACTCTAATTTGAAAAGATATGTGCACCTCAGTGTTCATGGTAGCACTATTTATAATAGCCAAGACATGGAAACAACTTAAATGTTCCTCAACAGATGATTGGATAAAGAAGTCATGGTACGTATATACGATGGAATACTACTCAGCCATGAAAAGAATGAAAGAATGCCATTTACAGCAACATGGATGGACCTAGAGATTAACATACTAAGTGAAGTGAGTCAGATAGAGAAAGACAAATGTCATATATCACTTATATGGGGAATCTATAAAAACGACACAAATGAACTTATTTATGAAACAGAAACAGACTCACAGGCAGAAAACAAACTTATGGTTACTAAAGGGGAAAGGGCAGGAGTGATAAATTAGGAATTTGGGATTAACAGGTACAAACTACTATATACAAAATAGATAAACAAGTTCCTACTGTATAGCACAGGGAACTATATTCAGTAGCCTTTAATAACCTGTAATGAAAAGGAATATATATATATATATAAAACTAAATCACTATGCTGTGCACCAGAAACTAACATAACATTATAAATTAACTATACTTCAATTAAGAAAAAATAGAAAAAGAAAAAGAAAAAGAAAAGAAATGAAGAGAACATAGAATTGGCTCTACCAGAATGACAGATAAATAGGCGGGCATTTGTTCTGAGAGCATTGTAGGGAGATGCCTTAAGTGGGGTAGGGGAGACCCCTTACTTCTGTCCCTGGGAACCTGGGTGTGTCAGAGGTGCCCAAACATACATTGTGCAGAACTGTCTTCTGGGATTCCATAGAGGATCTGCTGGTCAGGGTGATTTACATCTAATCAAATGCAATACAATGTGTGTCTTTTTTTTCTTCTTTTTTTGAGCTGTCATTTATTTCACACATTTAAAACAATTCTCTTCTTTTTGGGGGAGGTAATTAGGTTTACTTAGTTATTTATTTATTTAATCAAGGTACTGGGGATTGAGCCCAGGACCTTGTGCATGCTAGTCATGTGCTCTGCCACTGAACTAGACCCTCCCTCGGAAGTCACAAAGGGATTGAGTTTCATTTTGACTTCTGGTGTTTCAGCGATGGCAGCCACAGGGAAGTGTTAGGAGCCACTAAGTGCACTGACGTGGTAGAAAGGAGGGGGAAACAGGTGAGAAGAGAAGTCAGGGTGATAGGAAAAGAATGGAAGGAGGAGTTCAGGTGGGATAGAGTTTGGTGTATTTGTAAAACTAAATGAAAATATGTGTCTGTATTTTTCCCAGTGCTTCTGATTTTTCCCATCACCTGTTTAACACAGAAGTCTATACACACATATACATGTTAGATATACACACAGATACTCACATGTATTATGCATGTCCAACACACACTCTGCAGGTGAGATGTCCTAGAATCAGATTTAAGAAGCTTCTCATGTGATTTTCATCATCAGGCAATTTGGCGAAACTCTGGATTTGAAGGTGGTGGGAGGGGATCAGGCAGGATTTGATGCAAGAAAAGGCTTTCGTTCTGAGGACACTAAGAAACCATTCCTTTCTTTTTTTCTAGAATTTTTTTTGAAGATCTATTCTGTGACAGACATTATTCTGGGACCTGAGGATAGGTGGGAAATAAGATGAAATCCCAGCTCAACTGAGGTTTATGCTCCAGCGTGAGGTCCCAGGCAAGGAATATTCTACATTCTTTGAAAAATAAAAAAGCCCCAGTATTCCAAATGCTTAGAGATAATTGGACTTATGGGTCACCACTGGACACAAAGAGAATTAAGTGTTTATATTTCCTGTATGAATTCTATTGCCTCATCAATTTTTACTCTCCTACTAGTAATAATTGAGGATAGTAATAATAGATGAAGCAAAGTGCTTACAAGCAGAAGGTTTGTCTCTAATAATTGTGGAAGGAATGATCAAATTAGTTAACATGCATTTGTAAGCCTTTCTAAGATGATATTCCTTCAGCGTTGACTTAAACAACCAACTTTAAGGGACCATTAGGGAAATTTGAGTATCACCCTATAGTAGCGACTAACCTTTGTTTTGTTGGAGGTTTACAGGGACACCATGACCTGGCCCACGGAGCCAAGAACAAAGAATGCCTGCAGCAAGAAGATTGCAACAATCAACCTCACCCCCTCCCTTGTTTTTCATACAAAGGGAGCCTGTATTCTGACTAGAGCAGGATGGTTCTCCAAGCCATTAGTCTGCCATCCTCTAGGTCTGCCGGCTAAAGTCGCTATTCTTTGCTCCAACACCTCATCTCCCGATTTCTTGGCCTGTTGTGCGGCGAGCAGAACAAGTTTGGACTTGGCAACAACCCGATATTATGTTATACCAAGGGTTTCTTTAAATTTTTTTTATTTATTTGTTTTTCATTTTTCATTTTTATTAGGTAGAATTGTTACAGTTTGACTACACATATACAATGTATTGCATGTAAATACATGTATACACAATACACTGCACATATTTTTAAAATTTACATATACGTACTTGTTCATTGTTTCTAAGAACGTTTAGAGCTTTAGCTTTTTAAACTTACATAGTTATCAGAGGAATAAAACCAACCACAAAATAAGAATTAATTCAAAAAGATACATACACCCCACTATTAACAGCAACATTATTTATATTTGTCAAGATATGGAAGCATCCTAAGTGAACATCAATAGATGAATGGATAAAGAAGATGCAGTACATATGTATGTAATGGAACACAACTCACCCATGAGAAAGAAGGATATTTTGCCATTTGCAGCCCTTCATTCACTTATTTTTTTCCACTTCAAATACCACAATTTTATAACTGGCATAAACATTTCCATTTTAAAAAACACTGTGCTCCCTTTAACATGAATGGGTCTCACCAATGAAACGGTGCGTGAAAGAAGCCACGCACAAAAACGTTCATGGGTTATGATTCAGTTTCTCTGAATTTCAACAACAGGCAAACGAATCAATGGTGATGAGATGAAACAGTGATTCCTTTTGGGGAAATGTAGGTGACGGCTGAGAACACACATTTTATAAGAACGTGTACAATACAGCAAGAAACTCCCCCCCGCCCCCCGCCCCCCGCCATGGAGACAATTTCCCCCACTCATCAGGTGAGAGGATCAGGACCAAGGTGGCTTATGTCCACAGTTTGCCAGGAAAGGAGGCAGGATACAAGCCCAGCTTTGGGGTCTCCAAGTGTTTCCATCTCTCTGGGCTGTGACACTGAACCTGAGGTTCGAAGTCTCTCACCCGCTCCGCCGGCTCCAGCCCTCAGCCTCCTGCACAGCCTTACCCCTCCCCCTCCTGCTCCCCTGAGGACTTGTGGGAAATTCTTTCCTTCTCAAGAAGTCTATCTCTCTGGACAATTCAGGCTTTGGTAGTGTCTTTGAGCTTTGACCCTTGTTTAAACACAATCCTGGGCAAAAGTGTGCCTCTCTGAGGAACAAACATTCCCTCCCTTCCTGGAATCTGGGCTGTGAAAGCTCCCCAGGTGTTTCTTATCATCTTATCAGCAGGTTTGGGTCATCCTGGCCAGCAGGTGGTGAGAGGGCAGGGGTTTGGATTTGATGTAAGATCTCTTATCCTAAAGCACTAGAAAGCCATTCATTGAATCAACCAACTTCCCTCTCCTTTTGTCTTTCATTTAAAATAGCGAGATTTTTGGGATCAGGTAAATTAAAATGCATGGATTTTATGAAAACAATTTTTTTCCAGCTTTATTGAGATACGATTGAATAGAACACTGTGTAAGTTTAAGGTGTACAACATGTTGATTTAATACATTTATGTATTGCAAAATGATTACATTAGCTAACAGCTCCATCCCATCGCATAATTATTTCTTTTTTGTAGTGAGAACATTTAGGATCCGGTCTCTTGCAACTTTCAAGCATATAATGTAGTATTAGCATTTTATGTTTTGATGAATCTTACACCCAGGTAACTGCCGTCCAGGTAAATGCAACTGAAGACATGAAACTTTTCCATCATCCCAATGAGATTGTCCAGTGTCTTTTTCAACTCAGTTCTTTCTACCACATGGACACTGACTGATCTGTTTCTGGCTGCTGTAGAGTAGTTTTTCCTGCATGTTCTGCAAGTTCATAGATGGAATTATACAGAATTATCCACTATGTAGTCTTGTTTCTTTCACCCAGCATGTTTTTGAACCGCGTTCATCTGTGTATATCGCATATACCACATATATACCAGTTCCTCCCCTCTGCCAACCAGTGGGCAAGAGCTCTTAAGGGGGAGTCTGGGGATGTTTGTTTGGACGGAGGATGCTACACGCAGAACAGCTGTCAGCTCAGACAATCGTCTTGAGGTTACTCATGCAGTGGTCTGATCAGCATCATCTTGACTGTTTTAAGAACAGTTAATCTTCGGTTCCAGGGTCTGTTTGTTCCCATTTCTTTGAGGCCAGTTCTTGGAATTGGGGCAGCTTCTGACACGTCCACAGTCTGGTCATCACGTAGTTAATGTCTTCCCCCTGGTGGGGGCTTTCAGTATCTATGAAACAGCTCAAAGGACATGGCTCAGAATATTATTTATAGCCTTTGAGGAGGAACAAAAAAGCCTTTGACTTTTTTTAATGACTGTTTAGCTTGGCTATTTCCCCTTGTTTCTGTATTCTCTTCTTTCCCTGATTAAACTTAGTCTTTTATTCATTTGTTCTTTATGAGGGTGCAGCAATTAGATTTATTTATATTTGGAGGAGGTACTGGGGATTGAACCCAAGACCTCATACATGCTAAGTGAGCACTCTACCACTTGAGCTATACACTCTCTGCTATATTTATTCTCTGACAAAAGTTTTTCTACAGACAAAAGGCAGACAGAGGACATAGGGGGGTCTGTCCTGGGAAGACCCTACAGGGTCCTGCTCCATTTCAGTGTTTCCTTGTAAGGGAATCATTACAAATCATTATCAGATGTAACTTTCTGGGTCTAGCATCTCACACTAAATTCTTTGTGGTGACAAAGAGCCAAGAGAATTAGAACTGAAGCTGGAAAAGAGAGCTTGGGATTCCAGAACGGGATAGAGACAGTATATATTAGGGTCTTGGCAGCAGCCAAAGTGGACTATTTTGTGGCCAACAGACTGCTCTGTGAGAGCCTTCCACCTGGGCCATAGGCTGAGTTGGAAGGAAGGCACTGAATGATCTGTGTAAACTAGAGATATAGGGGAGGCACCAACAGGGGGTCTGGGAGGTGTGTCCATATTTCCTTTGGAAGAGCTGATTTTGACTCCTGCCTCAGCTAATTGCTCTTGTTGAGCCTCTTGTTTTGGTGGAAAATCCTCGTATTTGGCTTTCTTGAGTTTCGCTCGACGGTTCTTGAACCAAACCTAAGGAGAAAAGAGAGGAGCGAGGGGCTGATGAATCGGGTGATGTTCCACCAGACTTTTCATTTTGCCCGACACCTCTGACACTCACAGTCTATTAGTGGAACCCCTGACAACCTAGATCCAGGAAGGAGCAGAAGTGAGAGGCTGTGGGGCCAGAAAGCGAGGCAGGGACCAGAGCACACCCAGAGCAAGAGACAGGAGAGCAAAACAGTCACCTCCAGGGGATGCTCTAGGGCTGGTGTCACGCGCAAATGCTCCTGGGCCAAATCGGACCCACCGCCTGCTTTTGTAAGGCCCATGAGCGAAGAGGTTCTACATTTTGAAATGGTTGGGGGGAAAAAAGCAATACAATAAGAATATTCTGTGACATGAATACCATATGACCTTCAAACATGTGTCCCGAAAGTATTATGGAAATGCAGACACACCCATTTATTTGCACAAGGTCGATGGCTGCTCTTATGTGATCATGGCAGAGTTGATTGCGGCAGAGAGTATGGGTCACAAATATTTACTATCTGGCCCTTTATAGAAAAAGTTTGCTGTTTCTTGCTTTAGGGGTTAGGAGAGAGGGCAACTGGGTATACCTAGGAGTCTGGGTGCTAGGAATCTTGGGGACTGGTGTGGTATCCAGCTTCAGGAATTATCCTGGGGTCCCTGAGTTTAGGGTACTCCGGGAGGTGGCTTGGAGAGGTGGGGCGTTATTTTCTGACCTGCAGTACTCTTGGGTGTATCTCCATTTCCAAGGCCATTTCTCTTTGTAGGCTGGGGCTGGGGTATGGGTTTTTACTGAAAAAGAAGTTCAAAGCTGCCAATTGTTTCTTTGTGAACATAGTTCGTTTCCTTAGTGGATACTTCTGGTGCTTTCCTGGAAAGGAGAGAAAGGCATGGATGAGGTATCGAGACAGTTCTAGTCTCAAAACCTTGAGCTTCCACTGGCTCTCCGCAGCAGTCAAGCTTGCTGTCAAGTGACTGAGATTCCTGGATACTTACACATGGTGTGGATGACTTTGCTGCTGGCTTTCCTAAAGCCTCATCTTGCCACGGTTGCTAATCCATATACCCACCATAAGAAAGGGTTGTTCAAATATGGATCCCTTGGATGTCAGCTTTGGATTTAAATTTTTTGTGTGGAAAAAAAATAGGCCTGTCAAGACATGGAGGCAACCTAAATGTCAATCGATGGATGAGTGGATAAAGATGTGTGTGTGTGTATATCTATATATCTATATCTATATCCACACACAATGGAATACTACTCAGCCATAAAAAGAATGAAATAATGCCATTTGCTGCAACATGGATGGACCTAGAGATGATCATATTAAGTGAAGCCAGAAACAGAAAGACAAATACTATATGATATCACTTATATGTGGAATCTAAAATATGACACAAATGAACTTATTTAGGAAACAGAAACAGACTCACAGACAGAAAACAAATTTGGTTACCAAAGGGGAAAGAGGTTAGGGGAGGGATAAATGAGCAGTTTGGGCTTAGCAGATACAAACTATTATATATAAAATAGATTAACAACAAGGTCCTACTGTACAGCACAGGGAACTGTACTCAATATCCTATAATAAACCATAATGGAAAAGAATATGAAAAATGATATGTGTATGTATATGTGTATATATGCATCTAAAACTGAATTATTTGCTGTACACCAGAAACTAACACAATATTGTAAATCAGCTATAGTTCAATTAAAAAAAAAGCAACAGGCAACTCAATCCAATGAGAGACGCCCATGACTTTACCCTTGTCGCTCATTCAAATTTTACTGAATAACTTTTATCGGGCACAGGTATGCTTTTAAGCATACAGCAAAGAAATAGAAAAATAAAACTTATCCTCCCCAAAATTTGCCCTCCCAAACGCATAGAATGTACAAGGCCAGAATGAACCCTAATGTAAACTATGGATTTGGGGTGACAAGGACCTATCAACGCAGGTTCGTCACCGGTAGTGAGGTGGAGCAGCACGTCAGATGAACCGCTCCAGTGCAGGACGTTGTCACTGGGAGTAGCTGTGCCTGTGTGGAGGCAGGAGGTATATCTCTGTTTCTTCTGCTCAGTTTTGCTGTGAAACTAAAACTGCTCTAAAAATAGTCTAATGATAATAACAATACCAATGCTTTTGTGGATATCGTGCTTTAGTGGAGACACACATATGCACAAACTAAAAGTGTTAAAATACACATTACATTACGCAGTGCTGATGTCACTGAGCAGGACCCTCTGGGGCTGTCCCAGGACAGAGCCCTCCCCCACATCCTTT